ACGGTGAACTGGAATTGCTAAGTTTTCCACCCAATGATCTGCAAATTCACGTGGTTGTTGGCCACGGTGTGGAGCTTGGGCGCCAAGCCCAGGTTATAAGAGAATTGTGCCAGTGTAAGTGGATTCAAGTTGTCCACACAGACGCAGAGGAGCTTGCAATGTTTAAGTCCTCTCAAAATACCGTTTCATCAGGAGAGAAAAAGCACAAAACAGAGGAGGAACTTTGTAAACTGGCCGACTTCGTTGTTGGCGTTGAGCCTAAGTTATACGAGTCCTTTCGCAGATGTCTTCGTGGTTGTAAGAAAGACAGCGCTATTCTTGAGTTCACCCCTGGTGTTTTTGACGAATTTGAGAATATCAAACACGTTGAAAGAGATTTGAAAACGTGCAGCATTCTATTGTTTGATCGAGGATTTATTAATGAATTTGAGTTGAAGGGTCTTGACATTGCAGGCAGTGCTGTTGCTGAGATTAAAGACGCCCGTCTCATTTTTGTCGGCGCTCCAAAGGGAAAAGAAGACGACATAGCACAAAGTTTTCTGAGGTGCAATTTACCTGCTAGTCGCCTCACTGTAAGAGGCCTTGTGCAAGAACGAGAAAGCGTGAAGCGGTTGTTTTGCGAAGTCGATCTTCTACTCATGCCATCCAGAACAGAAGGATTTGGCCTAACAGGTCTAGAAGCTTTATCAGCGGGTGTCCCTATTCTAGTTAGTAAGAACTCTGGATTTGGGAAAGCCCTGAGTAAAGTACCGTTTGGTGCCTCTTGCGTCGTTGATTCAGAAGACTCCAAGGTATGGGCAGAAGAGATCGAGAAAGTATGGAGGAAAGAAAGAAAAAACCGACTTTCGGAGGCTAAAGGCCCACTTACCTCCTACGACGAGAAATACAGCTGGTCCACACAATGTAAAGCTCTTATTAACAAGATGACCCACATTCTGAGCGGTATGCAGTAAAATATCCAACCGTTTACATAATTTTTCAGGTCATTTAAAATAATGACGATAATGATAATA